TCTAGTTCTCTCTCTCTAGCTTCTCTCTCTAGTCTCTCTCTAGTCTCTCTCTCTCTAGTCTCTCTCTCTAGTCTCTCTCTCTAGTCTTCTCTCTAGTCTCTCTCTCTCTCTCTCTCTCTCTAGTCTCTCTCTCTCTAGTCTCTCTCTCTCTCTAGTCTCTCTCTCTAGTCTCTCTCTCTTATCTCTCTCTCTCTCTAGTCTCTCTCTCTAGTCTCTCTCTCTAGCTCTCTCTCTCTCTAGTCTCTCTCTCTCTAGTCTCTCTCTCTAGTCTCTCTCTCTAGTCTCTCTCTCTCTAGTCTCTCTCTCTAGTCTCTCTCTCTCTAGTCTCTCTCTAGTCTCTCTCTCTCTAGTCTCTCTCTCTAGTCTCTCTCTCTCTAGTCTCTCTCTCTAGTCTCTAGTCTCTCTCTAGTCTCTCTCTCTCTAGTCTCTCTCTCTAGTCTCTCTCTCTAGTCCTCTCTCTCTCTAGTCCTCTAGTCTCTCTCTCTAGTCTCTCTCTCTAGTCTCTCTCTCTCTAGTCTCTCTCTCTCTAGTCTCTCTCTCTAGTCTCTCTCTCTGGTCTCTCTCTAGTCTCTGTCTCTCTGGCTCTCTCTAGTCTCTCTCTCTGGCCTCTCTCTCTCTGGTCTCTCTGGTCTCTCTGGTCTCTCTCTGGTCTCTCTGGTCTCTCTGGTCTCTCTGGTCTCTCTCTGGTCTCTCTGGTCTCTCTGGTCTCTCTGGTCTCTCTGGTCTCTCTGGTCTCTCTGGCTCTCTCTCTCTAGTCTCTCTCTCTCTCTCTAGTCTCTCTCTCTCTAGTCTCTCTCTCTAGTCTCTCCTCTAGTCTCTCTCTCTAGTCCTCTCTCTAGTCCTCTCTCTCTAGTCTCTCTCTCTCTAGTCTCCTCTCTCTAGTCTCTCTCTCTAGTCTCTCTCTCTAGTCTCTCTCTAGTCTCTCTCTCTAGTCTCTCTCTCTAGTCTCTCTCTCTAGTCTCTCTCTCTAGTCCTCTCTCTCTCTCTCTGGTCTCTCTCTCTCTCTATCTCTCTCTCGGTCTCTCTCTAGTCTCTCTCTCTCTAGTCTCTCTCTCTCTAGTCTCTCTCTCTAGTCTCTCTCTCTAGTCTCTCTCTCTCTAGTCTCTCTCTCTCTAGTCTCTCTCTCTAGTCTCTCTCTCTCTAGTCTCTCTCTCTCTAGTCTCTCTCTCTAGTCTCTCTCTCTAGTCTCTCTCTCTAGTCTCTCTCTCTAGTCTCTCTCTAGTCTCTCTCTCTCTAGTCTCTCCCTCTAGTCTCTCTCTCTAGTCTCTCTCTCTGGTCTCTCTCTAGTCTCTCTCTCTGGTCTCTCTAGTCTCTCTCTCTGGTCTCTCTAGTCTCTCTCTCTGGTCTCTCTCTGGTCTCTCTCTGGTCTCTCTGGTCTCTCTGGTCTCTCTCTGGTCTCTCTGGTCTCTCTGGTCTCTCTGGTCTCTCTAGTCTCTCTCTCTCTAGTCTCTCTCTCTGGTCTCTCTAGTCTCTCTCTGGTCTCTCTCTAGTCTCTCTCTCTAGTCTCTCTCTCTCTAGTCTCTCTCTCTAGTCTCGCTCTCTCTAGTCTCTCTCTCTAGTCTCTCTCTCTCTAGTCTCTCTGCTCTCTCTCTCTAGTCTCTCTCTCTAGTCTCTCTCTCTGGTCTCTCTCTCTAGTCTCTCTCTCTAGTCTCTCTCTCTGGTCTCTCTCTAGTCTCTCTCTCTCTAGTCTCTCTCTCTCTCTCTTCTCTCTCTCTCTAGTCTCTCTCTCTAGTCTCTCTCTCTAGTCTCTCTCTCTCTCTCTTCTCTAGTCTCTCTCTCTAGTCTCTCTCTCTCTTCTCTCTCTCTCTCTCTAGTCTCTCTCTCTAGTCTCTCTCTCTAGTCTCTCTCTCTAGTCTCTCTCTCTAGTCTCTCTCTAGTCTCTCTCTCTAGTCTCCCTCTCTAGTCTCTCTCTAGTCTCTCCCTCTAGTCTCTCTCTCTAGTCTCTCTCTCTGGTCTCTCTCTAGTCTCTCTCTCTGGTCTCTCTAGTCTCTCTCTCTGGTCTCTCTAGTCTCTCTCTCTGGTCTCTCTCTGGTCTCTCTCTGGTCTCTCTGGTCTCTCTGGTCTCTCTCTGGTCTCTCTGGTCTCTCTGGTCTCTCTGGTCTCTCTGGTCTCTCTCTCTAGTCTCTCTCTCTCTAGTCTCTCTCTCTGGTCTCTCTAGTCTCTCTCTGGTCTCTCTCTAGTCTCTCTCTCTAGTCTCTCTCTCTCTAGTCTCTCTGGTCTCTCTAGTCTCTCTCTGGTCTCTCTGGTCTCTCTCTGGTCTCTCTCTGGTCTCTCTGGTCTCTCTGGTCTCTCTAGTCTCTCTCTCTAGTCTCTCCCTCTAGTCTCTCTCTCTAGTCTCTCTCTCTGGTCTCTCTCTAGTCTCTCTCTCTGGTCTCTCTAGTCTCTCTCTCTGGTCTCTCTCTGGTCTCTCTCTGGTCTCTCTGGTCTCTCTGGTCTCTCTAGTCTCTCTCTCTGGTCTCTCTCTGGTCTCTCTGGTCTCTCTGGTCTCTCTGGTCTCTCTCTCTGGTCTCTCCATCTCTCTGGTGTGTAAATGTGTGCTCTCACCAGTGTGGCAGGCTCCTCCCATCCAGCCGTCAGGACAGCTGCAGATTCCAGGGGCCATGCAAACCCCTCCATTCCTGCAGCCCTGGGGACACAGTGCTGCACACAACAGAGAGAGAGAAAGTGATGAGAGCAGCAAAACTACAGGAAACAGAGAAAGTTACAGAACAGATGTTGTACATTCATTAATACACACAAAATATAGATAGATACTTTATTGATCCCCGGAGGAGAAATTCAGGTGTCCAGAAGCAGCAAAAACACATCCATCCACACAAACAAAACAAATAAATTGATCGTTCTAAAAAGCTAACAATATTAAAGGAGCTATACCTGTTTTTGCAAGGTTGAATGTTTAGCACCGCCCCCAACTCGCTCAATGGCTTCTCATTTCCCCTACGCTCTCATAACACAGAGCCATCTAGCTCAATTTGCGATCTGATATGTATGCTAACATTAGCATTAGCACAACTTCTTGTAAGCTGTACAACAATCACTGATGAAATGGCACTAAAGTAACGCACTGCTAACACAATATATAAGTAAAAGAATACCGCTAGTTTTGCATCCAAATTTATTCATTTAACATTGGAATATATAAGAATATTTAATTATAATTTATTATACAGCTCCTCACAGCAGTAGAATTAATAGTTACTTAACGTAACTTAAGTTCTACGAATAGGTGCGTAGTCCCTTAGGACTTCGCTAGTGGGATATCACTCGTGACCCCCAGGTCACACATCGCCAGAGAGATCAAAAATAATTTGCTCCAATCACCAGCCACCTTCCTCTATAAATGCCCCTGCACAAGGCCGCACCCCCTCTTGAACTCTGCCAAGCCGGGCTGGCCTGATGGGCTCGTAGCTAAGGGACTACGCACCTATTCGTAGAACTTAAGTTACGTTAAGAAACTATTAATTCTACGTCATGGTGCTACGTCCCTTAGGACTTCGCTAGTGGGACACAACGCGGAGGCCGTAGGAACATGTACTCCCAGCAGGCCAGCGAAGGGTGATTGGAGCTCCGCCCGAGCAAGACCCTCACACAGTGAGAGGACTCAGGGCAGAAGAAACAATGCGTGTTACAGGGCCACTCCTACCAAGGATACCCCCACGTAACACAGATGTAGGTCATCCGTAGTCACAGGACGCCTCTCCCAAGAGCTCCTGACGTGGACTACCTGACCGACCAAACACACATATATGTACCGCACCTGTAGGATGCCTCTCCCAAGAGCTCCTGCACCAGGGCAGAAAATAGACCGAAGGCCCCCTCAGAGGAGGGACCTAACGGTCTAACTCAGTCCGCTGCACTCAGCACGGAATGGGCCACCGACCGGTCCGACACATCCGAAAGATAAGACCGGACGAAAGAGGAGGACAACGCCCAAGAAGCCGCACGGCAAACGTCCTCGACCGACGCCCCCCTGAGGAGGGCCGTAGAGGCCGCCATCCCACGCGTGGAATGCGACCTGAAACCCACCGGGGGGGCCAGACCCTGCGTCTGATACGCCCGCCGCACCGCCGTGGCGACCCAATGCGCCAGCCGCTGAGCCGACAGCGGGGCGCCCCTGTTCTTGGGGCCCAGACACACAAACAGCTGATCACCCAACCTGAATGACGACGTCATGGCCAGGTAATGCCTCAGCATTCTGACAGGACACAGAAGGTGCCGCCGCTCCTCCTCGGGGGAGGCATGCGGTGGCGGATAGAAAGCCTTAATCCTGATGACTCTCGACCTAAAGGCCGACGTGATGACCTTGCGGAGAAAAGCCGGATTGGGCCACAATTCCACCATGCCGTCGCCCTCCCCAAAAGACAGGCAAGACGCATGGACAGAGAGCGCACACAAATCGCCCGCCCTCTTAGCAGACGCCAACGCCAGTAAGAGGGCCGTCTTAAAAGCGACACACTTGGGACTCGCCTCCGCCGCCGGTTCAAAAGGCGGACCCGACAGCCCCCTAAGGACCACCCTGAGGTCCCAAACCGGAGGCGTTCTCTGGAGCGGGGGCCTCCTCCTGCGCGCCCCCCGCAGAAAACGTTTAACCAACGGATGAGAACGGGCTGTGAACCCCCCGAATCCGTCGTGACCCGAAGTAATGGCTGCCGCGAAAACCGCCAAGGTAGCGACAGCCCTCCCCTTGTCGAAGAGCTCCTGTAGGAATCCCAGGACCCCCTCCAGCGGGCAACACCTGGGATCCCAGGAACGGGAATCGCACCAGACACTGAATATTCTCCACCTCGTGGCGTAGGCCCTCACAGTGGACGGCGCCCTCGCTCCCTGAATGGTCTCCACCACCGCAGGGGGAAGACCCAGGTCTACGAGGCTCCGCCTCTCAGCCTCCAAGCCCAGAGCCTGCGGCCGATTATCGGACGTGAAAACAGGGCTCCTGCCCCCTGGACTAGAGCCCCCGGCTCGTCCGGGAGGGCCCAGGGCTCCATCACCGCCATGCCCCTCAGGAAGGGGAACCACCGGGCATGCGGACTGTCCGGAGCCACCAGGATCACCGATCTCCTCTCCTGTTCGATCCTCCACAGCAGGACCGGCAGGAGACGCACTGGTGGGAAAGCGTACAACAGGCCGCCTGGCCAGGGGTAATGAGCCAGAGCGTCCACGCCTAAAGGCGGCTCGTCCGTGGCCCTTAAGGCGAACCAGGACGGGCACTGTGCGTTCTCTGCACTGGCAAAAAGGTCGACCACTGGACGGCCGAACCTTCGCCAGATCTCCGCAGCTACCCGTGGGGCCAGGCCCCACTCGTCCTGGAGTGGGCCCCCCCTGGACATCCTGTCGGCTCCCACGTTCCGAACCCCCGGGACGTGGCGCGCCCTGAGAGACAGGAGGTGAAGCGCCGCCCACAGCAGCGTCACCGTTGCCATGCGATGGAGGGCGGGGGACCTGGTGCCCCCCTGCCTGTTCAGATAGGAGACCACTGTGGTGTTGTCTGAGCGCACCATCACGTGTCTCCCCTGCAGCTGAGGAGCAAAGTGCAGCAGTACTCTGTGCACTGCCTCCATCTCCAGCAGGTTGATGTGACGGGCTGAGTCCGACCAGCAGCCTCCTACAGAGCTCTGGCCGAGGACCCCGCCCCAACCCTCGAGCGACGCGTCCGTGAACACCTCGACGTGAGACACGGCGCAGGCCAGAGTCACTCCGTCCCGCAATAGACCCGGAGTGAGCCAGAACCTGATGTCCGATGCTGCCCCTTGGGGAACCCAGATCAGCCTCCCCCTGTCCCGGGAGGGGTGAAGCCTGAGGCGCGAGAACCACCTCTGAAAATTTCTCATGTGGAGCAGGCCTAGCCGCACCACAGCATGAGCCGCCGCCATCATTCCCAGCAGGGACCTGAGGCGCCGAGCGGGGACTCTGGGGCCCGCCAGAACCTCCCGGGCCAGACGGGTAATATTCATCCGTCTGTCCACGGACAATGCAGCACGGAATGTCACAGAGTCTAGCTGCAGACCGAGATAAACCATGCGTTGGGCTGGCTGCAGCTTGCTCTTCTCCCTGTTTACCACAAAGCCCAGGCGCTGTATGTGGGACAGGACCCAGTGCGTGTGGCTCACGGCCACTTCCCTGGATGAAGCCAGAATTAACCAATCGTCTATATAGGTTAATATTCTTACCCCCGCACGTCAGATCGGCTCCAGAGCTGCTTCCACACATTTGGAAAAAGTCCGAGGCGCGAGTGCGTAGCCGAAGGGGAGACGGCAGTACTCGTAATTCCTCTCTCCCACTGCGAAGCGCAGGAACCTCCTGTGTTCTGGTACTATGGGCACGTGGAAGTACGCATCTGTCAGGTCTATGGAGGACATCCAGTCTCCCCCCCTGACACACTCGAGGAGCTGCTTTGTGGACAGCATCCGAAACTGCCGTTTGGAAATGCACTCGTTTAACACGCGCAGATCCAAAATGGGACGCACCCCGCCTGATTTCTTTGGCACTAAGAAGTAAGGGGAGTACAGCCCCCTGGTGGCGTCCTGCGGGTCTACCTCCACTGCTGCGCCTCGACTCAGCAGAGAGGAGACCTCCGCCTGTAGTGCCTCTAATGATCCCCGTACCTGAGAGCGTACTGCCCGTACGCCTCGGAATGGTGGTGGCTTTCGGGAGAATTGCAGTGCGTAACCCCTGCGCAAAGTTTTCTCCAGCCAAATATCTGTCAGTAAACCCTGCTCCCTCCAGATGCTGTAGAAGTCTGTGAGGGGCGGAACGGGAGCTGGAACACGAGACGTCACGGCCCCGCCCTCTCCTGGTGTTCCTAGCAGGGAGGGGGGGTGGACCAAAGGGCCGGGGGGGCCCCTGCGTCACACCGTGAGCGCCGGGGGCGGTCACGTGTCCTGCAGGCCCGACGTCATAAGTACGGGACTGCTCACCACACGTGACTCGGCTGCTGTGCCCCCCCCTGGCTCTTGCCTCATGGAGGGGGGGGCGAGCCCCTGGAGTGGGAGACCCCGTGTTAGCCTTGTAGCTCAGAGATGCTAACACGCGTTCGGCCGGAGCACACACATCATCACTCACCAGATCCCTCCGCCTGCCCTCTCTCCGGGAGGGCATAGCATGAACCAGTGAATCGGAGCTCGTGGCTCGCGTAGCGCACTGCACACCCTTCTCTGGGGGCTGCAGGCCTAGCGGAGCCACGTTATATGCTCGAGAAGTAACACAATCAGAATTCAGATTATTTAACATGTTACATACCCCCAAATGAGACTCAGACAGCGAGTACTGATGAAATGCCGGTCGGCCTTTATTGAAAGAATTCTTCCCACCCCGACCTCCTCTGCCATAGGGAGGTCGTCGAGGGGTGCGCTGGTCCCGCGAGCCTCCCGTGTGCCTGTCTGGGCCCGGGGGCCTCGTCGCTGGGGAACAATGAACCACGGAGCGTGGATATGGTCCGGGGCGCCTGCCGGGCGAGCGCTCCCTGCCTCTGTCTCGGCTCCGCGCTGGTGGGCGGGCCTCGCGCCTCGTAGCTAGATGCTGGGCTAAGCTAGCAGAGTCCTTAGCTGCGGTGTCCAGCCTAGTCATCAGGGTCTGCATCTCCGGACCGAAGAGTGACGTTTGGGAGATGGGCAGGTCCAGCAGCTGCCTCTTCTCCACCTCTCTGAGGTTCACCGGCCCCAGCCAGAGGTGTCTGGCCCCGACTTGTGCTGCTGCCATCGTGCGGCCGCCATCGACAGCTAGCGCCTGGCACATGCGCAGGATCGCCGCTGAGGTGGTCCTCGCCTGGGATAAGGTGTCTCCACTGAGCGCCTGGCCAGAAGAGAGCGACCTATCCAGGGCCCCCGTGATGAAGGCCATGTTATTCGCCACAGCGACAACCTGTGCCGCATTGGCGTAACATCTGTCCAGCATAGCCAACGACATCCTGTCACGCTCGGAGGGAAGGAGAGGTCTGGTGCTGGGCCACACGGGTGCGGAGGGGTGCAGGGCCGCTCGAACCGAGTCCTCGATGTCCGGGACCCCGCCGGTCCAGGACCAGTCCTGCACGTTACAGTACATGCCGTACCCCAAGCGGGCCTCTTGGCCGCTAGGGGCTTTGGCCACTCACGTGTCGCGTAATGGACGATCGGGTCCATCCGCGGGCACACCGTGGGCTGCGCTCTCCTCCTCCCTCGAGCGGTGGCGTAACCAGAGGTGAAGTCCTCCACCCTCTGGGTCGGTTGCGGAGGCAGGGGGGCATCCATGATGGCCGCCGCCGTGGAGTAGAGCCCAGGCATGTGGTCCAGCGGGAAGCGGTCCGGCTCCGGGTTGGACACCACCTCGTCCAGCGTGAGGAGAGAGCCGACCTCCGACACCTCTCCGTCCTCGCAGTCACCCCACTCCGCGGGCACGGGTGGAAGGTCGAGGGGGGCCCAGTCAGTCTCAGACTCCTCGTCCCGAGAGGAGTCCGGACGGGGCGCTGTAGCGGCGTGGTACGCACGCCTGCGTTCGCTCTCCTCCCTGGGGAGAGCGAGACACGAGGTGCAGGTGGCGCTCAACGCCGCATGGCCCGGGCCCAGGCACACGAAGCAGCTGGAGTGCTGGTCCGTGCGCTGGAGCCTGACTCGACATGTCGAGCAACGACGACGTCCGACGCCGGATGGCGAAGGGGAACTCGGACGAGCATCAGAAGACATCTTTCCTCAGGTAAATTGAAATGTAGATCTCAATCGGCGCCAGAGTGAAAGAGGGGGTGCGGCCTTGTGCAGGGGCATTTATAGAGGAGGGTGGCTGGTGATTGGAGCAAATTATTTTGATCTCTCTGGCGTGTGACCTGGGGGTCACGAGTGATATCCCACTAGCGAAGTCCTAAGGGACGTAGCACCATGACGTAGAACACTCCAGTGACTTGAATGTAATTCTACCGATCATTTTTTCTTGATAACAGAACTCTCAAACCAATAATGAGCGCTGCCCTTTGGCAACGCAATCTCTGTTTGTAATTCAGGTGTGTAAAATACTAACATTACTCTGCAAGTTCAAGCCTTCAGCACCTGTCACTACACTGTGCAGCTTATCTGCACACAGTTGTCTGTGTAGAGAAGCTAGCCGAGCTAGCCACGCTCAATAAACAAATACATATCAATCAACCCATGCCATTAAATGTTAATCGGACAATACAGTACACATATACATCCTTAACACACATGCACGGACGTTTTCAGAATTTGGTGTTAACGTTTTCATGACAAAAATACCTATTAATCCTGTGGGATATAAATTGTGTTTCATATAAGTCTACCCTGTCATTCTCCACAGATACATGAGGGTTAGTATCCAGTGTATGTTCAGTAGCTGTGGTCAGTCTCACCCTCCTGGCACCTGGTGCCGGTCCAGCTGGAGGGGCAGATGCAGCGCGGGACCCCGTTTACCGCGGTGCATTCGCCACCGTTCCAACAGCCTCCGTCACACGTCACTGCACAATCACAGCCCGAGTCACAAACTCTGTCCACAGACCGTCCAGACCGTCCATACCGGTGCAGGGACATTTGGAGATATGTAATCGTGCAATGTTTTAGGAAATCAACCCTTTAGGCAATTTTAATAGCAAATAATCTAATTAAAAGGACCAGGTGGGTGTGTGTGAAAGTTCACTATATGAATATATGTAATGAGAGAAAGTGAAGAATTGGGGGCTGGCTGGTTTTATCATGACTTATGATAAATTAGATGTAATTTCTGTCTGATAATGTATGGTAATGTATCCATCTACTTTTATTTTACTGTTTTACATCAACCTGCTCAGGGACTACATCTCTCTCTTGGCTAATGTTTATTGTGCACTGTCCCTGTGAAAATAAAAAACATTCCATAAAATACCATACTATAATTATTCATGACAGACTTTTGATTTATTCATGGGGAAGACGGTGGGGAAAGGGATCAAAAAAGGAAAACGTGTCTTCCTGTGTTGTATTTGTAATGTGATACAAATGTAAACTAATGATAACTAATAATAACTAATGATAATAAAGTTAAACCCATGGTAGGAGATACACTCACCCTTGTGGCAGTAGCGCCCTCCGTAGCCCGGCTGGCAGCGGCACTTGCCCGGTCGCAGACACATTCCTCCATTTTTACATTTAGGGAAACAGGTGGCTGCAAACACAAGGATCAAGTGAGCCATAAATCTAGACCAGGATTCATCCATGCAGACATCAGGAACTTCTATTCAATTCAATTCAATGTATCCTTGTATAGCACTAAATCACAACAGTAGTCATCTCAGAGGACTTAACAAAACCATTGAAATTATCAACACAGATCCTAGAATCCACAGTTAAGACACAACAAATATAGAACACATGGAGTTGACCAATGTCCATTCATGTTGATAAATGTCCATAAATGTTGTAGAAAGGCTCCTGGATCATCACCACAGTCTAACAGTCTCCTGCATCTGCAACGATTAACTCTATAACCCAGTGAGAGACAAGTGAGAAACCACGGGGGAATCCACATTGAGATAGGAATCCGCTCCACTTCTGACCCAAATGTTTAGCTCTGTCCCTTTAATTCAATTCACTTCAATGTATTTGTGTATCACCCAAATACAAACCACCGCCTCTGATATTCCGTGACGCACATGCAATTCCACGCACGAACGGATGTCACTTTGCCTTGAAACTGGACACAATGCATGACCCGGTCTGAATGCCCCATTTGACCTTCCTGCATCAACAAGGAACCACTCAAAAACCCAGTGGGAAAAAGTGAGATACCTCAGGTAGGCCCATATTGATAGAGGGATCTGCTCCCAGGATGGACCGGCTGTAGATCCAGGACTGAGGCTGTAGATCCAGGACTGAGGCTGTAGATCCAGGACTGAGGCTGTAGACCCAGGACTGAGGCTGTAGATCCAGGACTGAGGCTGTAGACCCAGACTGGATCCTGAGGCTGTAGATCCAGGACTGAGGCTGTAGACCCAGGACTGAGGCTGTAGATCCAGGACTGAGGCTGTAGACCCAGGACTGAGGCTGTAGACCCAGGACTGAGGCTGTAGATCCAGGACTGAGGCTGTAGATCCAGGACTGAGGCTGTGTAGATCCAGGACCCAGGCTGTAGATCCAGGACTGAGGCTGTAGACCCAGGACTGAGGCTGTAGATCCAGGACTGAGGCTGTAGATCCAGGACTGAGGGCTGTGAGCTGTAGACCCAGGACTGAGGCTGTAGATCCAGGACTGAGGCTGTAGATCCAGGACTGAGGCTGTAGATCCAGATGAGCTGTAGACCCCAGGCTGTAGATCCAGGACTGAGGCTGTAGACCCAGGACTGAGGCTGTAGATCCAGGACTGAGGCTGTAGACCCAGGACTGAGGCTGTAGATCCAGGACTGAGGCTGTAGACCCAGGACTGAGGCTGTAGATCCAGGACTGAGGAGGCTGTAGACCCAGGACTGAGGCTGTAGATCCAGGACTGAGGCTGTAGACCCAGGACTGAGGCTGTAGATCCAGGACTGAGGCTGTAGATCCAGGACCGAGGCTGTAGATCCAGGACTGAGGCTGTAGATCCAGGACTGAGGCTGTAGATCCAGGGACTGAGGCTGTAGATCCAGGACTGAGGCTGTAGATCCAGGACTGAGGCTGTAGATCCAGGACTGAGGCTGTAGATCCAGGACCCAGGCTGAAGATCCAGGACTGAGGCTGTAGATCCAGGACTGAGGCTGTAGATCCAGGACTGAGGCTGTAGATCCAGGACTAAGGCTGAAGATCCAGGACTGAGGCTTTAGATCCAGGACTGAGGCTGTAGATCCAGGACTGAGGCTGTAGATCCAGGACTGAGGCTGTAGACCCAGGACTGAGGCTGTAGATCCAGGACTGAGGCTGTAGATCCAGGACTGAGGCTGTAGATCCAGGACCCAGGCTGTAGATCCAGGACCGAGGCTGTAGATCCAGGACTGAGGCTGTAGATCCAGGACTGAGGCTGTAGACCCAGGACTGAGGCTGTAGACCCAGGACTGAGGCTGTAGATCCAGGACCGAGGCTGTAGATCCAGGACTGAGGCTGTAGATCCAGGACTGAGGCTGTAGATCCAGGACCGAGGCTGTAGATCCAGGACTGAGGCTGAAGATCCAGGACTGAGGCTTTAGATCCAGGACTGAGGCTGTAGATCCAGGACTGAGGCTGTAGATCCAGGACTGAGGCTGTAGACCCAGGACTGAGGCTGTAGATCCAGGACTGAGGCTGTAGATCCAGGACTGAGGCTGTAGATCCAGGACCCAGGCTGTAGATCCAGGACCGAGGCTGTAGATCCAGGACTGAGGCTGTAGATCCAGGACTGAGGCTGTAGACCCAGGACTGAGGCTGTAGATCCAGGACCGAGGCTGTAGATCCAGGACTGAGGCTGTAGATCCAGGACTGAGGCTGTAGATCCAGGACTGAGGCTGTAGATCCAGGACCGAGGCTGTAGATCCAGGACTGAGGCTGTAGATCCAGGACTGAGGCTGTAGATCCAGGACTGAGGCTGTAGATCCAGGACTGAGGCTGTAGATCCAGGACTGAGGCTGTAGACCAGGACTGAGGCTGTAGATCCAGGACTGAGGCTGTAGATCCAGGACTGAGGCTGTAGACCCAGGACTGAGGCTGTAGATCCAGGACTGAGGCTGTAGATCCAGGACTGAGGCTGTAGATCCAGGACTGAGGCTGTAGATCCAGGACCCAGGCTGAAGATCCAGGACCGAGGCTGTAGATCCAGGACTGAGGCTGTAGATCCAGGACTGAGGCTGTAGATCCAGGACTGAGGCTGTAGATCCAGGACTGAGGCTGTAGACCCAGGACTGAGGCTGTAGACCCAGGACTGAGGCTGTAGATCCAGGACCGAGGCTGTAGATCCAGGACTGAGGCTGTAGATCCAGGACTGAGGCTGTAGATCCAGGACCCAGGCTGTAGATCCAGGACTGAGGCTGTAGATCCAGGACCCAGGCTGAAGATCCAGGACTGAGGCTGAAGATCCAGGAGACTGTTTAACCAGTAGAGTTCAACAGTAGAGTAGAGTAGGGCTGGTGGAAATGGGGCTTTAGACAACTCTCTCTTTGGGGATAGTAAAGTTGAACCTAGGATTATTTTCACTAAACTTGAAAACATATAATGGGAAATCTTCTGTTGAAATATCCACAAACGTTAAAGTGATAGTCTGGAACTCTAAATGAATTGCAAATTTTAAGAATTGTATAAAATTGACCTCCTGGCCTTAATTGTTGGTATCAAATAAGTTATTTTATTAATTATAATATTACGGGTAAGTCCCGCCTTCTCTAAGCTGTAGCTCAGAATCCACGATGCCGTCCAGTTTAACCATTCAAGTGATGCCAAGGGCTGTCAATCATCAGCGCTCATGCTAGTAGCTGCGCGCATGCTCAGTTGTTTGTTTTTGCGGAGCCTCCAAATCAATATATAACCTATATATTGATTATGGATATATAACCTATATCCATAATCAGATCAGACTCTGCAGATGTGTCCTATAATGGGCAATCAATGATAATAGTTACTTCCGGGTTAGCCGTGATTGCTTTTTTTGTGCATAAAAACATTATTTTTTTCATGAAAACGTTAACAAATAATTCTGAAAACCTCCGTGCATGTGTAGTAATAATGTATAAGTATAAGTTTTTCAAGTACCTTTCTCACTCTCTTTCTGACAAACTCTAGACAATCACTTTTAAGTTAGAGGCTTTAAACACAAACATGTGATTGTAAAGAATGTAATCACTGACGCATCAATCATACTATTCCTGAACTGAGACAGGAGCTTTTAGACAGAAGGGGCGGAGTTATGTGTGTCTGAAGTTCCGGACATCAGCGTGGATGGATCTAAACACAACTCCAGGTATAAACTCCTCCAACAAGCATCACACTGCAGACTCACCAACTTGGCAGTTCTCTCCCTCGTACCCCCGGGAGCAGTAGCATGTGTTGTTGCGGATGCAGACGCCTCCGTGCGCGCACTGGGGCTCGCACTGCGCCTTGGGGTCGAACACGAAGCCCAGGGCCACTCCTCGGGGGCCTTCAGACCGGCCCCCATCCACCCCGCTGAGGGCCACTACTGCAGCGGACAGTAGCAGCAGGACACACGTACGATGAGACATGGTTACTGCTGCTCTGACCGTCTGGGACCATGAGCAGCTTCCAGAGAGAGGGGGCTTCCAGAGAGAGGGGGCTTCCAGAGAGAGGGGGCTGCACGGGTCCAGCCCAGAGAGCAGAGGGGGGGGCGCAGGGCTGAGGAGGAAGGGAGATGTGTTTTTTGCATTATGCTGTGGAGGAAATATATGTTGACTTGACATATCATGTAACATCGCTCAGAGAAAGACTCAGTTCTAAAGTTCTGAAGCCTATGGAAAAGTTGGTGTGTAGGGGCTGAGCTTTCTGACAGCTGATTGGATGAGTGAGGGCGGTCTTCTCTGAACAATCTGATGTTACAGATGCCAGAATTACATGAATGTGAGAGACCATAAAGAGAGACCAGAGAGAGACCAGAGAGAGACCAGAGAGAGAGTAGAGAGAGACCAGAGAGAGACCAGAGAGAGAGTAGAGAGAGACCAGAGAGAGACCAGAGAGAGACCAGAGAGAGAGTAGAGAGAGACCAGAGAGAGACCAGAGAGAGACCAGACAGAGAGTAGAGAGAGACCAGAGAGAGAGAGTAGAGAGAGACCAGAGAGAGACCAAGAGAGAGACCAGAGAGAGACAGAGAGAGACCAGAGAGAGACCAGAGAGAGACCAGAGAGAGACAGAGAGAGACCAGAGAGAGACCAGAGAGAGACCAGAGAGAGAAGAGAGAGAGACCAGAGAGAGACCAGAGAGAGACCAGAGAGAGACCAGAGAGAGAGAAGAGAGACCAGAGAGAGAGAGAGAAGAGTAGAGAGAGACCAGAGAGAGACCAGAGAGAGACCAGAGAGAGACCAGAGAGAGACCAGAGAGAGACCAGAGAGAGACCAAGAGAGAGACCAGAGAGAGAGACCAGAGAGAGAGACCAGAGAGAGACCAAGAGAGAGACCAGAGAGAGACCAGAGAGAGACCAGAGAGAGAGAGAGAAGAGAAGAGAGAGAGACCAAGAGAGAGACCAAAGAGAGAGAAGAGAGAGAGAAGAGAGAGACCAGAGAGAGAGAGAGTAGAGAGAGACCAGAGAGAGACCAGAGAGAGACCAGAGAGAGACCAGAGAGAGACCAGAGAGAGACCAGAGAGAGACCAGAGAGAGACCAGAGAGAGAGACCAGAGAGAGAAGAGAGAGACCAGAGAGAGACCAAGAGAGACAGAGAGAGACCAGAGAGAGACCAGAGAGAGAGTAGAGAGAGACAGAGAGAGACCAGAGAGAGACCAGAGAGAGACCAGAGAGAGACCAGAGAGAGACCAAGAGAGAGAGTAGAGAGAGACCAGAGAGAGACCAGAGAGAGACCAGAGAGAGACCAGAGAGAGACCAGAGAGAGACCAGAGAGAGACCAGAGAGAGACCAAAGAGAGAGACCAGAGAGAGACCAGAGAGAGACCAGAGAGAGACCAGAGAGAGAGTAGAGAGAGAGACCAGAGAGAGACCAGAGAGAGAGTAGAGAGAGACCAGAGAGAGACCAGAGAGAGACCAGAGAGAGACCAAGAGAGAGACCAGAGAGAGAGACCAGAGAGAGACCAGAGAGAGACCAGAGAGAGACCAGAGAGAGACCAAGAGAGAGACCAGAGAGAGACCAGAGAGAGACCAGAGAGAGACCAGAGAGAGAGAGAGAGAGACCAGAGAGAGACCAGAGAGAGACCAGAGAGAGAAGAAGAGAGAGAGAGACCAGAGAGAGAGTAGAGAGAGACCAGAGAGAGACCCAGAGAGAGACCAAGAGAGAGACCAGAGAGAGACCAGAGAGAGACCAGAGAGAGACCAGAGAGAGACCAGAGAGAGACCAGAGAGAGACCAGAGAGAGACCAGAGAGAGACCAGAGAGAGAGAGAGAGAGACCAGAGAGAGACCAGAGAGAGAGTAGAGAGAGACCAGAGAGAGACCAGAGAGAGAGTAGAGAGAGACCAAGAGAGAGACAGAGAGAGACCAGAGAGAGACCAGAGAGAGACCAGAGAGAGACCAGAGAGAGACCAAGAGAGACCAAGAGAGAGACCAAGAGAGAGACCAGAGAGAGACCAGAGAGAGACCAGAGAGAGAGTAGAGAGAGACCAGAGAGAGACCAGAGAGAGACCAGAGAGAGACCAGAGAGAGACCAGAGAGAGACCAAGAGAGAGTAGAGAGAGACCAGAGAGAGACCAGAGAGAGACCAGAGAGAGAGAGAGAGAGACCAGAGAGAGACCGAGAGAGAAAGAGAGACCAGAGAGAGACCAGAGAGAGACCAGAGAGAGACCAGAGAGAGACCAGAGAGAGACCAGAGAGACCAGAGAGAGACCAGAGAGAGACCAGAGAGAGAGACCAGAGAGAGACCAGAGAGAGAGAGAGACCAGAGAGAGACCAGAGAGAGACCAGAGAGAGACCAGAGAGAGACCAGAGAGAGACCAGAGAGAGACCAGAGAGAGACCAGAGAGAGACCAGAGAGAGAAAAATTGTGATAGAAGCAAACTGTTATGAGAGCAGGGAACTATTGATCTAGTTCATTGTTTTGTAGTTTTGACGTCAGGTACCACAGCTTAAATTATGAAAGAGTGAAGCTGAGTCATTCACCAACAACAGATCAGAGAATCAAACAGTAACAGCTCAAACACAGGAATTACAAAAATAACAAACACATTGGTGCCTCCCAAGGTTATTATTATAGATCCATGTCCCTCCCCCTCCCTCTCTGTGTGACAGGGGGGCGTGACTGAGAGAAGCATTCACATCAATCAGAAGGTCTGTGATCAGGGTTGCCAGAACTCACAGCGTCGAGCTAATCTGACCCGTAAAATAACATGTGGCCGGACAACTAAAAAAGGTCTCGTTATGATTCTCAAATTGTTAATGACAAAACAAGGAATGAAACCAGGATATCTTTTGGGGCCTTTGTGAAAAAGGTGTTGGTTATAGATTTGTTTTTGACAAAACTCTTGTCTATTCAGATATTCTGGTCTGTTTGCAAATCTGGCACCCCGGGTCAGGGGGAGAGAGAGAGAGGTACCACTTTTAGCCGGATTTTTTACAAACTGCTCCTTTAATATGGATTTAAGGTCATGACTGTAATTTGTTTTGAGGTAGAGTAAGCGCATGGCAAGACATTGGGTGAAATGTCTTGCTCATGGACACTGCTGGTTGTTGGAGCTCTAACTGTTGCTAACAACTTGATGCTGTTCTGTTGGATCCAGGGCGACGGCTGATGTGTTCTCCAGACACAGACTAGACGCAGGATACGACACAGAGTCAGATGGAAAGTGTGTTCATGGATAGCGCATTATATCTGTCAAGGAACATATTTGATCCTGATGTCAACATTTATTTGTATGGCACACATCTTGTACAAGGCATTTCTATGTGTGTCGCAAGGACAATTAAAAACAAAGATCCAAGGCCAGAGAGGAAGAGCAGAGAGAGACTAGAGAGAATACCAGTGAGATCAGAGAGGGATGACAGAGAGAGAGAGAAATGAGAGATAAGGACCAGTGATACCAGAGGGAGAGACCAGAAAGAGGGACCAGTGAGACCAGAGAGAGAAAATGTATAGATATATAATAGGGGACAGAATCAATTGTATGCACATGCTAAAGAGATTTGTTGTGAACATGGTCAGGGTAGAGGCCAGTCTCACACCCTCAGGAAGACTGTTCCATATTTTAGTTGCATAGCTCTGAAACACAGCCTCCCCATTGTTTAATTCTATGGGCCTTACATTTATAGAGCTCCATACACAAGGCTGATTCGACCTGGAGCGGGTTTGGGCTTTGACCTAGATTCATGTAGGAAGTGGAGAGCTGATACACTAACCTTTTCAGCAGATGTGATCCTGGGGAGGGTTCACTGAAGAGGGGGAGAACGCCAAGAGCAGCTGGGGGCTGTAGCAAAGCGGAAAGGAAAACTACTATTTTGTATAGTCAGCTATCTGTGACTTAAAGCTGCAGTACCTAACTTTGAAAACATACAATAGTAATAACTAGTAAATAGTTATTACTATTTTTAGGAACTCTAAAACAGTTTGCATCTTTCACATGCACAGTACCTCTCTTTTCTCTCTCCCTGGTCTCTCTCTGCATGCATCTTTTCACCTCCTTCACCTCCTTCACATCTTTATATCAGCTTTTTCAGACAGAAAAGTAAGAAAGAGAAGACCACCCTCACTCAGCCAATCAGCGAGGAAATGTATTATATTATGACAAAAACATGCCATGGTCTGATTTGTTCATAAAATGTGAAGATGCTTTCTGGTGGGACAAATATCATGAATTTACTAAACCAAAACAAGTTTGGTACTCCAGCTTTAAAGGATCCAATGTACCAGGACTGGGACGTGTGGATGTTACCCTATATTTGTTTTGCCAATAGATCAATAATAACAATAAAACTCATGGAAATGTTTCTTTGAATGAACTTAACATTCTACATTTCCCTTCAGTTGATCGAATACAGTACCCTGAATATAAGTCACACTACTTTATAAAGTACAACTTGTGATCAGTGACATCTAGTGGTCAGAACGCGTCACTACAACATGAGTGCAACTTTTTTGTCTTGAATTCTGGATTGTGTTTTAGTTCCAGCAGAATTTATTCGAGACAGAATAATGACATTTTGCCTTTGTCTGTCACAGTCTGGTTCCCTCTTCAAATACGTCATGGCTGGAGTTGTTATTAGATGTAAAATATCTGCAATGTCCCACACAAACCCGCCCCTCTCAGCACGGTCTGTGTTGACCCCGTCTGATCCTACACAACGTGAATTTCTAAACTTATTTCTTGTGTCTAGATCAACTATACACACATGAAGGAGACGAAAGAACAAGGAAAAGGACAAAGGTTGTGTTTATGTTTTTATATGCCAGCACCACATCAGACTACAACATGCTTAGCTATATCTCATCTTATAATAAAACATTTTCTTCTCCGTAAGAAACAACCCTGTGAGACACTATTTGACTCTTTGGGCTGAGAGCTGACTGGCTGAGTGAGGTTGGTCCTCTCTTTTTCCTGTTTCTGTATGAAAAACAT